GAGCCTGTGCTCCTTCCAGTAGTATATGTTCTAAGATGAATACCACCTGAAGAGATAATTTCTTTAATTATGCCCTTATATATATACGTACATTATAATTACGTACTATTCTATAAGTTTTATATATAAAGAGACATCTTAGAAACGACTGGAAGATATCTTATTTGTTAGATGTCTTCAGAATGTCTCTGAGATATATTGTACACATTTACTTTGTTAGGGGTAAGATATCTCCTGAATATCTTATACAGGAAGTGTATTCATGATATAGTAATTATAATATACTGATGACATTTTAAAGATATTGAGATATATTTCGTATATCCGCGATGATTTTAGTATATCCCATAGATCTCCATTGCTGCGTGGGATTTAATATGGATAGATCATTATAATTTCCTAACTAACAATAAGTGAATAAATATCAGCGTATTATTTCGTTTTTCCATGTAGCCCCTCCAAATATTAATAATATTAAACTGTCAGCAGAGGCATGAAATTAATGTAAGGAATGGTTACAATAGGAGGTATAAGTAACGTTAGCAATAGGCCTGTTCTTTTTGGTTGAACTTTTACACCGGTTCATCTTTCTTCCTTTTCTTTCCAGGAAGAAAAAAGAGGAAGAAAGATGAACTGGTGCAAAAGTTCAGCCAAAAAGAACAGTCCTAATGACTCGATCACAAACGTGCGATTAACCCAGCGTAAGTGTATTAGGCTACTGTTCTATAATATATATATAGGGATTGTAGGTTCAAATCTTGGCGGCGATGTAATGCTTTTTCAATAATTAATTGTAGTTCAGAAAACAAAAATATAGGTATGCGAAACAGTAAATAATAAATTGAACTGGAAAAACAAAAAGTAAATAATAACAAAAAAATTATATTTTTCGTTAAGATATAACCGTAATCTTTTTATTACATAAAAAAATAGTTTTTATTTAAGAAAATTTTTTATTACATGTAAAAAATATATTTCTTTTATTTAAAAAAAGAGTGCAAACCTACATAATTTATTTTTTTAATTCTAATAGCAAGAAATAACCAAAAAACTTCTTCAAATCAAAGAAATTGAGTCGATATCAATAAGTAACGAATAAACAACAATTTCACCCATTTGTAATGTCACAGTGACAAATTTTGCATTGCGCAAATATTATATACGCATTTCATATCAATATATAATTGTTATATGTCAATCCTGTCGCTATTTCGTATTTAAATCATATCACTGTTATATAACTACTATAGGTAAAATGGAACGACAAATTTGAGAGCATTCTCCGCAAATTCACGTAACTTTTGACATTACTGATACGATCCAAAAAATTAATATTATGTATGAGTTACGAGTTTGAGATGTATTTGTGTTTGCTGGGTTATAACACCACCTTCTGCAACACCACTTCCTGCAATATCACTTTCCGCAACATCACTTCCTGCAATACCACTTTTTGCAACACCACTTCGTGCAGTATCACTTTCTGCAACACCACCACCTGTAAAATTACGTCCCACAACTCTACCCACTACAACACCTTATCTGTGAGTCTCAAAGTAATACTAAATGTAATGCAGTTGCACAAATGCAAAAGGCTATATCAAAAATGAACACCAAGCGCAAAGTGCCTTCACCTGAATTCTTTTGCAATCAAGAGACGACAGGAGGGAGACATTCTCAATAAGCGCTTAATTGAACAAAATAAGGAAATGTCAGATTTGGTCGAAAAGATTGGTGAATCAATCGTGGCTTCATCAGTACCAAGTACTTGTACAACAGAGATCCGCAACATATCTCTTAATATTCAGTCTATGTTGAGTGCCATAGAGCTCGCATTAAGTAAAGCACCTGAACATGCGTAGCTTTAATGTCAGATTGGTCTATTACAATATATTAGATGTACAACTTTGCTTCCGCCGTTTTCCTACAGATGGCTTTAGCGGTAAGTGGTGGTTAAAATAAATAGATCATGCCAGATATGTAAATATGAAACCGGAATTTACCAATAGATGGCCATAGCTGTCAATGTAGTTGCCGTCAGACCTCGTCATTGACGCCATTTCCTTGTTCTGACATCTGACAAAGATTTTTAACTCAGAACAATACAAATTTCATACAACAGTATAGTTTGTAAAAGCGTTGAACATGTCGAATTTTGCACCTGGAAACTACGATTTGCGGATAGGATTGATTTTCTGTTCCCATTTGAAGAAAACTGCAGCAGAATCGCATCGAATGCTTGTCGAAGCTTACGATGAGCATGCTCTTGGTAAATCACAGTGCTTAGAGTGATTTAAAAACCAAAAGTGGCGATTTTGACGTGAGAAACGTAGAACGTGGAAAACCACCAAAAAGTTTGAAGACAGCGAATTGCAAGCATTGTTGAGGATGACGCTCAAATTCAACAACTCGCGGATCAATTGAATGTGACACGAGAAGCCGTCTCCATACGTTTGAAATCCAAGGAAAAGATCCAGAAGATAGGAAATGGGTTCCACAAAACTGAATGAAAGACAGTAGGAAAACCGAAAAACCACTTGCGAAGTGCTGCTCGCCAGGTACAAAAGAAAGTCAATCCTCCATCGAATTGTGACTGGCGATGAAAAATCGATATATTTTGAGAATCCTAAGCGTAAAAGATCATGGGTAACTCCAGGCGAACCATCGACATCGACTGCAAGGCCAAATCGCTATGGACGGAAGACAATGCTCTGTGTTTGGTGGGATCAGAAAGGTGTGATCTATTATGGCTGCTAAAACCTGGCGAAACCGTTAATACTGAACGCTACCGACAACACATGATCAATTTGAATCAAGCTTTGCGTGAAAAACGACTGGAATATCAAAAAAGGTAACACAAAGTGATTTTGCTTCATGATAATGCACCATCACATATAGCAAAACTGATCAAGGAAACGATTGAAGCGTTTGGTTGGGAAATACTTTCGCATGCGGCTTACTCACCGGACTTGGCTCCATCCAATTACTACTTATTTGCATCGATGGGACACGCACTTGCTCAGCAGCGCTTCACTTCTTACGAAGATGTACGAAAATGGCTAGATAACTGGTTTGGCTCAAAAGAGCAACAATTTTATTGGCGTCTCATCTACAAATTGTGGAACAGGTGGGAAAAATGTATAGCTAGCGCTGGGCAATAAATTCGAATAAAATATTTTTTATCATTTTCATGCAATAACCGTGTATTTTCTATTAAAAATTTCCGGTTTCATATTTACATACCGGTAGACATCATACAATAAACTTGGGCATCTGTCAACATAACCTCATAGAAACATTAGTCGATTTGTGTCTGCATCATAAAGTTATTCTCGATTGAAAATGTCAGTTTACGGTCCAAATTCTTGCCATTTGCGGGAGGTTTTAATTTTCTGCTTCAATATGAAGAAATCTGCGGCTGAGACTCATCGAATGCTCTCGTATACTTATGGTGAGGCCGCTATTAGTGAAAGAACGTGTCGTGAGTGGTTTCAACGCTTCAAGAACGGTGATTTTGACGTCGAAGAACGGCATAGCGGTGGAAGAGAGGTTTTCGAAGATGCAGAATTGGAGGCATTACTTGATCAAGACTCGTGTCAAAATCAAGGAGAATTGGTACAATCATTGGGAGTGACTCAACAAGCCATTTCAAAACGCCTCAAAGCCATAGGAATGATTCAGAAGCAAGGAAATTGGGTGCCGAGAGATGTTGAACGGCGTTTGTTTGCTTGTGAACTGCTTGAAAGGCAAAGACGGAAGGGATTTCTGCATCGCATTGTGACCAGGGACGAAAAATGGATTCATTACGATAACCCCAAGAGCAGAAAATCATGGGGAGTTTCCGGCCATGCTTCCACGTCGACGGTCAAACTGAATATTCACGGCTCCAAGGTCATGCTCTGTATTTGATGGAACCAGCTCGGCGTAGTGTATTATGAGCTATTAAAACCGAGTGAAACATTCACAGGCGATCGGTATCGAACGCAATTGATGCATTTGAATCGAGAATTGAAAGATAAACGGCCGCAATACAACGGGAGACACGATAAAGTAATTTTGCAGCATGACAATGCTTGATCCCATGTTGCGAAAGTGGTCAAGACATACTTGGAAACGTTGAAATGGGAAGTCCTATCCCACCCGCCGTATTCTCCAGACGTTGCTCCCTCTGACTATCACTTGTTTCGATCAATGGCATACGGCCTGGCTTATTAGCACTTCCGGTCTTATGAAGAAGTAAAAAATTAGATCGATTCGTGGATCGCCTCAAAAGATGACCAATTTTTTCGACGCGGGATTCGTACGCTGCCCGAAAGGTGAGAGAAAGTAGTGGCCAGCGATGGACAATACTTTGAATCATAAATGTATAACCAGTTTTTTACAATAAATCCTCGAATTTCGGAAAAAGAACGGCGGAAGCAAAATTGTACACCTAATATCAATGATTTTTGTAAAACGTAAGTGGACCAATAAAACAATTAATTTATAGCAATTTCGCCTGGGAGCACTGATGTGTACTGTTTTATATAAAATCGGTTACACGTCGTTTTAATTCGGATAAAAATAAAACGCAAATTATCGAATTAAAAATATTTTACTTAACAGCACAATAGAACATATTTACAATTTTAATATGTTTTTATATTTACGTCAAATACGCATCGTTATGACAATTTGTGTACGATAGCTTCAATACGCATCAATGCACATTAATGTGTTTTAACTATCATAGTCGCAATCGCTATTAGATCGCTGAGATATTTACTGAGGTGTTCAATTTATTATATTTGTGATACTTTGATATATATAGTTACAATTATTGGGTGGCACCCAGTTGGACACGGCTCAATTGGACACAAGCCACTCACAGCGCTTGAGACTACAGAGCTCCTAAGCACTGGTCGCTGTGATTGGTGGTGTCCAATCGAGCCGTGATCAATCGGGATCACCCCCAATTATTATATGAAATTTTTATAGAAAACAAATACATTTATATGTTCAGTTTCGTGCTCGTTGTATCACAGATATTAAGAAATGATATAAAAGTCTTCTGTTAAGCTTTTTGTGGAGTAAAAAGTTCCTGAAATATGGGGTCGATTCTATAACTCTTAGCAGGAATCATTGATGTCATTGCGCAGTTTTTTTACTATACATAATATCTGCGCAACGACATCAATGACTGTCGTTAAGAGTTATAGAATCGACACCTAAATTCAGTTTCAGTTACTATTACTCATATTTATAAAAAAAAAACAATATTGAAGTACTATTTTTTGTTAAAACCTAGTCTACAAATAAAAAAAGACTAAGTTTAGATAACCCAAACAAATATTCTGTCATTTAGCGGTTCCGTGTTAATGTCAGAGGATTTTATATATGACCTATATATGACCACTTATATATGACCTCAAGAGGATACTCTACAAAGAAAAGGAATTTTGTATAACCATAAAGTACTGGATTTAGAATTGCAATCTCCTCAATGCTACAAAAATGTATTACATGTACTGACATGCACGCGTACTACGGTATCACGTAAATGACAAACTTCTTCTAACAAATAAGCGTGCCGCCTAGTATTTTGTATATCCTCTTATTCCGAGATTCTCGGAATAATAAACGAGATTCCACAGATTTCTTTTGCTGTGTGGGATACTTATTCTTTATATTTTTGTATCTATAAAGGAAAAATCTACACGACAATCGTATATATTATTATTTAATTGCATAAAAATAATTAATTGATAGCATAATAGAAGCAAACTATATAGAACCTAACCTATAATATGTTTTAGATTGACTTTATTTGCTAGCGATACTGATTATTTTGATTATTTGTTATATTAACGAACAATGAGAAATAATTTGCAATAGTACTTATTGATCAATCGTTTTCTTATCAATTTATGACATTTGTTGTCCCTTAATAATGTTTATATAACAAAATCGCTTCTCTCAATGTGCAAAAACAAATATAGTGAAATATGCTCAAACACTGAAAAAGTGACGTATAATTTATGAAATTATGTTACATCGTAGTGATGTAATTTTTTAGAAAAGACAATCTCATAACTTTAGTGATATAACTGTTACAGACTACAATATACATTTCTGCAGATGTAACCAAAACATATATTATTTACATCTTTTTTTATTATAGCTTAGTGATGTAAATGTATTTTGTATTTGTTATGTCTCATTCATAGAATGGTATATGGATGTAACTTAATTACGTTTAATTTAC